ATGCTGGTCAGTTGTGCCTGAATACCAAAAGCAAGAGGATATAATGAGGAATGTCTGACCCCCCTGGCAATTATGCCCTCAACTACTTTTTCAGGTTAACTTTGTAATGTTCTTGGCTGAGAGGAGGGGTCTATTCAGTTAGCTGGGGCCTTAGAATTTTATTTTTGACTTACATTCTCTACATATGCTTATTATCTCTGGTTCCCCAACTTACACAGTTGCAAAGAGAGGTAGAACCATTGCCTTTTCCTATATTACCAAGAAAATAAATGGTATTATTATAGCTTCCAAAATGATCACAAATAAATATCATTTTGTTTTTTTAATGCACTGGTATTGATACGCTATTATTTAAACTATTTTTTTACATAGGCAAAAACTAAGAATTGAATCACTGTGTATTCCATGCCCTTGTAATCTCATTCCTAGACCAAAGTAGCGAGACTGTAATTATTTTTCCAGGGTTAGTATGAGACACCCTGCTAGACACTTTCACTGTTATCCATTCAAAAATCTTCCATGGGCCGGGCGCGGTGGCTCACGCCTGTAATCCCAGCACTTTGGGAGGCCGCGGAGGGAGGATCACGGGGTTAAGACATCAAGACCATCCTGGTTAACATGGTGAAACCCCGTCTCTACTAAAAATATAAAAAAATTAGCCAGGCATGGTGGCGGGCACCTGTACTCCCGCTACTCGGGAGACTGAGGCAGGAGAATGGCGTGAACCCGGGAGGCGGAGCTTGCAGTGAGCTGAGATCGTGCCACTGCACTCCAGCCTGGGCAACAGAGCGAGAGTCCGTCTCAAAAAAATAAATAAATAAGTAAATAAAAATAAAAAATTAAAAAAAAAAAACTTCCATGTACAGATTTTTGTGCTGAATGCTATTGTAAGTATAAGATTCAAAGTCCATAATTTCAAGTAGTGTCTCAAATGAGCACAAACTCCTTCAACTGTAAATTCCAGATCCTCTTGAGAAATGAGATCAGAAAGTTGACAGCAAAGATCGAAAGATACCTGCTTCATGACAAATTTTAGAGTACTGAAGTTTTCTTTCTCCTCTATTCCCAGTGACCTCTGGGCTCAGAATGAGGACACAGAAATGTAGTAGAGTAAACTTGAAACTTTCCCTAGCCCATCAACTGGGGGGACACACAAGAAGTATCCAGCTAAACTGTATGAAAAGGGAAGAACCCTGGAGAACCTCCTGGAGGGAAGAATTGACCCTAAAAAGAGATTCAAGGGGTCACTGCCTGAAGCCAGGGATCAAGGGTAAGGTATTAAAAAGCCCTCTGGGAGGCAACACCCGCTCCAGGGGACTGCAGGAGGAGCAACACCCTGAGAAAACCAGCCTACATTTGGACATCCAATCACAGAAGGTCCCGTTACCATTTTGCCTTTAATTCCCAGCCTCCTTCCTTTCCACACTGGAAAGAACCAGAAAGCCAAGCTAGTGAGTAAAGAGCATGCAAAGAAAGAAGCGGGGATAGACCAATTTAAACTATGCTTCCCGCTGCTGGATTCTATGGCACAATAAGGCACAAGCTGAGTATCAAACATGAAAGTTTGAAAATTTGATATAAAAACAGGATTGGAATTTGTAAGACCAAAAAGAGTGACGTTATTCATTAATACCTAGGATCTGATTGAGGTGCTAGGATCCAGGTATCATGGAAGAGTAATACTACACCACTTGTTTGAAAAGTTTGGTGTAAAAAAAACACCAAATTACTATTTTATAATTTTACCCTTACTGGGCCCTGCTTGTTGAATATATTAAATATTTTTATCAGTTTTTTCCACATAGTTCCAAATGTATTTCAAAGAAAACTACTACTAAGAAACTAGAAAGTTATTTTAATAATTATTGAGAACCTTCAACTTAATAATTTGCTTTTATAATTTTGCTGAATTTAATCACAGCAAAAATAGATTTCAGTAAAATATGTTTTATTGCAGATAGCAACACATGTTAAATATATAAGTATATAAATATAATATATAGAAGCGCATGTGTGTGTGTATGTGTGTGTGTGTTTTGGCACAGACCATACTATATCTATGCTGAGATGTCTCTAAGAAATTTGAATGTATTTATTATTATAATTTTAAAAGTTGTAAGACTAATTAGAAAAAATAAAAGCTACTTAGAAGCATTAAGTTGGTGATCTTGTAAATAAATGTGTAATT